AAAACCATCAAACTCTTACAGAATGTCTTGATAATGTCAGTGCCATGTATTGTTTTGTATATCAGTGCCTTTTGACAGTTTTTGAAGTTTCACATTTGACTTTCATCTCATCCCTGTGAAGTGGTTAGGATTGGTAATATTACTCCTTTATCACAATGAGGAAATAGTCCCAAAGAGGGTAACTCTTATCCGAGAGCACAGAACCAGTCCTCTGAAGAGCCAGTGCTAGAATCCAAGATCTTTTGGCTTCCCTCTTCACACACTGCCTTTGTTCTGCCTGCATTTCCTGGTTAATGATAACTAAGCCTTTTTGAGAATAGCATTGTTATAAAAATGCTGCTCTGTTGAAACTTGAGAGATTTTAAAACACAACATTGTAAGAGCCTCCAGGTCTCCACGGTGAGGTATATTTTTTCCGTCTGGCTCTTTTTAGCTTATTAAAACAAACTGTGTCATGCTTAGAAGACATTCGCTAACATATTTTGTTTTGGTATCTGTGCATTTCCTTATGCTTACACAATGTCATTCCAAGAGGAGTGAGAAATCAGACTGAGGCCATCATTGCAGCCTTTTCTGGTCTGAAGTACGAGGCAGTTAAATCTGTATACCAAAACGCTTCTCTGTAGAAACAAAAGAAAAACCTTGCTGTTCTTTAAAAAATGTTTTTGATTATGCAAAGGACAACTGGAATCACACCCCCTGCTAAAAATGCTAATACATGTATCTCTTGCATGAATGGTGAGGATTTTTGGAAAAGCAGTATAAAATAGTATTACAAAGCCAGGCTCAGCCACTTACAATCTGTTGTGTGACCTTGGACATGTAACTTAGTTTTTCTAGGGCTCGGGCTTCTCATTTTGAAAACTGGGATAACACCTACCAGAGAGGTTGCTGTAAGAATTAGAATGTTACACAGAATTCTCTCCGAAACTTTTTTCTTTTTACGTTTTTAATTTTCTGTAATAGGGATGTAAAGTTCCCTGGGTGGTGCACGTGGCTTGTACTTGACTGCTAATTGAAAGGTTGGTGGTTCAAACCCACTCTTTGGCGGTGGGGAAGAAAGGCCTGGTGATATAATTCCATAAAGATTACAACCAGGAAAATCCTATGAATCTCAGTTCTACTCTCCAACACATTGGGTCCCCATGTGTTGGAATTGGCTCTCTAGCAGAGGTGTTAAGGATGTATCTTACAGTTGTTGGGTACATTTAGTGCAGTATCTCCTGCACCCCCCTCCCTTGCTAATGATGGTGCATCTTACAATTGATGTTACCTTAAATAAAGGGAATAATAGTATATAAAGAGTAATGCAGTGCCAAGTACACTATACATTCAATAAATAGATGCTGCCTTTTTTTTTTTCTTTAATTGAATTATGGTTCCTATGTTAAATCCCTACCCTAGTGGGGAAGTGAGGTCTCTGCTGGAAGGGCTGTCTTCAGATAGGGAACAAGATCTATGAGGTGACCACAAATAGGCAGGAGGAAAGTTTATCTCCTCTGGGAACCTGGATATTTAGGGTGGGAGACAAATGATATTTGTGGGTTGTAAGTGTTAAAGTCAGTGTCTACCCCTCTGAGGGAGAACTAGACAGGAAAGGAACTGCAGACTCAATCTTGATTCATGCAACTATCATTATTTCATTTTTGCTCACTCTTGTTATTTGAGGAGCCCTGGTAGCGCAGTGGTTAAGAGCTTGGCTGTTAACCAAAAGGTCGGCAGTTCGAATCTACCAGCCGCTCCTTGGAAACCCTTTGGGGCATTTCTAATCTGTACTATGGGGTCACTATGAGTAGGAATTGACTGGTCGCAGTGGATTTGGTTTTTGGTTTGTTATTTGAAAGGAGCCCTAGTGGTGCAATGTTAAGCGCTCAACTGCTGAGTGAAAGGTTAGCAGTTCGAACCCATCCAGCAGCTCTGCAGGAGAAAGACCTGGCAATCTGCTTTCATAAAGATTATAGCCAAGAAAACCCTATGGGGCAGTTCTGTTTTGTCTTTTGTCCAGAATTGACAGCACCCAACAACAAGTTGTTGAGGAGTCTTACCTGAACGTCTTCAGCCTTATCAGCTGTGCTTCACAGAGGCCAGGCCAGGCCAGATTGTTAATTCTTTGGGTAGAGTGTTAAAGGAAGGGAGCCTGGCTCCTGTGAGTAGGAGTGGCAGTTCTCAGCTGGAGACCCAATGGGGAAATTGAATTTTAAGGAAAGGATTAGGCCATAATGGTTTGTTCAGCTACCTCTCCCTTTTTAGAAAATTTTCCAGGGGTGGCCTTAGAGGTACTGAGTTGTGCTTTATTAAGCAAGGCAGCTTTTCCTTACAGAGCTTTTCCTGCAAATCCATATGAAATACCTGTACTCTAGTTTAAGAATGTCTAATTTGGGTGGGAAGAAGAGTGTAAATATGAATCTCAGGTAGATGGAACATAAAATGGGTTCATAGTATACAGACTCTCTTGTAGCTGCCCCTCATATAGTTTAAAAATGTATCTTGGTTCACAGAACTATTTAGGAGTAAAGAAACATTGACTCTGTAAGTTACTCTCATTGTGTGTAAAACACACAAGTGAATGTGGTAAAATGTTAACATTTAGGGAATCCAGGTGAAGACTTTATGGGAGCTCTTTACTGTTTTTCAAGTTTTCTGTAAGTACAAAATTATTACTTAAAAAAAGTTAAAATGTATAGCATCTTTCCATGCAAACACATATATTTATATTATATAGACAGCATACTGTTGTGTGGATGCACTGAAAAGGTATTTAGCAAGACCCCTATTGTTATACATTTGATTGTTTCTATTTGCCTTTATAAACAGTGCTGCTTGCAGACCCTTAAATAGGTTTTATCTTCATGTTTTTGGAATGGAATCACCTACACTCTACACTCCACCTTCCGCCTTTGAAGCATCCCACCCCATAATGGACTTTATATGAAAATTCAAAGTAAATTAACCAACTAATGCTTAAATTCAAGACCTTTAGAATTTTAAGTGAGTTAAATGGTGACTTTATTAGTCTCTGGGTAAGATAAATGTTGCTAGTCTAAAATAAACTCTAGAAAAATTTCTTCAGTCCTGACTCATCTGATGTAAGAAAACTTTTTAGGAAAAAAAAATGAATTTTTGGTGACGTGAAACATCTTGGTTAAGTCTTGACTGAGTAATTAAAAAGATCAGAGGGAAATCCTTCAGTATCCTGAAGTCATAGCTCTGATCTTATTCTGATGGGAGGAGCAGACAAATCTGTTTTGCTCTTATTCCAGTGTGCTTCACTGTCTTCATTGATAGCCAGCTATATTGATTGGATTCCTGTTCTCCTTCCAGGGGCAGATAGGATGAGGGGACTATTTGACCAGAGTCAGTATGATCATACACTTTTTTCTGTTAATTCACTTTCAACTTCTGATTGTTACTTTTTCTAATGAAACCGTTATTCGGAATGAAACCATGGAATGCAATTACATTTTGTCTTCAGATGAAAACAGCCTTCATTTCTGTATCTGCTGTTTGTGCCAAAATAGAGCAGTGATGTTTGGTCCAGTTTTTATGCCTCCCTTAATGGCTTTGAAAAACAAAAAGTGTTAAGCATGTATAGTTATTTACATGCATAATGTAAGGTGAGTTTGATGGATCCAGCAGGTATAAGGGATTCCCTTGATTCTCTTTGGTTATATCCCTTAACTTCCTAACCCTACCTCAAAAATAACAAACTGCAAACATTTCAGTAAAACCCTTTCTTTGAAATTTACATGTTTTAAAAATAGACCTAGACAGGTTAAATTGCATTTGAATTTTGACATGCCCATTGATTCAGTTACAATGTAGTGTGAATGTTGTATGTTCTTTTTTTTCTGCCGTAGAGTAAATTGGAATGGAGGAAATGGTGGATTAATAAACCCTAGATTAGGAGTTAACTACCAATGCCACGTTAAATTACACTCTTAAATTAAAAAAGAAAGCAAGGGAAAGAACTCTTTTCTGTCAGCTCCTTAGCTGAGAGTCAGTATCATATTACACTGACTGGGAAACAAGCGTTTCTGTGCAGCCCCGCAGCCCGGCAGTAATGGGAGGCTTAGTGTATTGCATAGTACATGCTGTACTATGCCCAGGGCGCTTGGCACAAGAACTGACGCAGAGTGCAGCAAAAGTTGGCGATTCCATTGAAGACCTTGGAGCTGTGGGTTTGTTCCATGTTTATAGTTCAGGAGAAAATATATTTTGTTTGCACCTTAAAAAATCAAGACTTTAAACTGATATCTCTTAGGCACTCTCTGTGGTGGTGATAATAGCAGCAGCAGTTGACATTTGATGAGTTGGGGATAAGGAAGGAGCATCCTTCCCCCAAGACACTACTCGATCTCGCCCCTTAGGGTTTTTCTCTGGGGAAGTTCCTCATGTGGACGCCAGGTGTGCATCACGTGTAAGATGAAAATGTGGATTTGAAGTAGGGCTAGAGACAATTTAAACATTAAAATGAAGTTTTTGGCAGGCTAGAATAGGGAAAAAAATAAAGAGCGATCCTTGATGGAACTTTGACCTCCTTGATGCGGGGGCCACCAGGTCATTCAGATTGTGGTCATCTTTATGTGTGTTTAGCTTGCTCATTGGTCAGATACTATTATGAGGTGGCTGACAGGGAAATCGGTTTTATCTTTTTCTGCCTCCATTTTTGCTGTATCTGTCATTCCCCTAGATTTACTAGTATACTAATTTTCTTTAATATACAAATTTTCTGCTGGAAATTTTTGACCTGTGGATCGTAATTGGTTTGCTATCATCTCCAGGTGCCATCACTTCCAGCATTACCCTTTCGCCTTCAGTTAACTTGGATTAATCACTTTTGTCTTATTTCATCAAAAATGGGAATTTCCTGCCACTTACCTAGTAAATATTGGGGCTGTGAAGGTGTTGCTGTTTTAATACAGCTTACCATCACTCTAATTGTTTATTTGTTTGCTTACCGATCTTTCTTTCTCTTCTCTCTCGCTTTTCACTTTCAACAGACCTACTCCAGTGAAGTCCATTGTGTTGAAGAGATTCTGAAGGTGAGTTCATCGTTACTGTTTCTCATTTGCAGAAATATTTAATTAGGCAGACATATATCCATTTACGTTCACTTTATGAAAAGTTGCCGTTTCTAAGCTCTTTTTAATATCTTCTCTCACACTTCCAAAAGCAAAATAAACCAGAACAGATAACAAAGGGAGTCTTAGACATTATTGAATTTTCTGACAGACTTTATTAATTAAAAAGAAGACTGCAAACTGCAAGGTCTTTGGACCAGAGTTTTTATGACACCTCCCGTAAATTTTTCAGGTTGTTCATAAAGATGCAATAGAGAGTTGCTCGCTTCTCAAGAGAGGAAACTCCCTGTATTGATGCAGTATGGAAGGCACTAAGAGGTTAAGTAGTGCTTGATTTATGCCTCTTGGTGTTTTGTAAGTGATGCCTAGTATAGCCTCTTCTTCAATGAGACCATGAATTTTTAATGAGATAAGAAGAAAAATAGTAGGAAGTAAATAGGCATCTTTAGACCTACCTTGAAGGATTATTTTTTTGTTATATGAGACTGTATCATGAACATGTCCTTCAACAAATATATCATTGACTGTATTTTCCGTTTGTTTAATTTTTCTTACACAAGGATGACAAATTCCTCCTAGAATTCAGTTCCAGGAAAAAAAAAAAAATACAAATTTTCAAGAACTGGCATGCTTTCTTTTTATCAGAGAAGAATTATATAAACCATCATGTTTCCTGTTTTGGCTTTAATTTCTAGGAAATCTAGAGCTAAATTTAATGCTCAAGTACAGTAATTGTGATAACTGAGGATTTTGTGTATTTGTATTCCTTCTCTGTAGCTTTTAATATTCTTCCATGTCAATTTCAAAGATATTCTTGCTGTGTCTTTTATTTGTAAGGTTTCTGATTTTTTTTCTTTGGAAGTAAGAGACACATGACAAGTATGTGCATTAATTCGAATCTCTACTGCTCACTTTTTCTTCAAAATATATGCTTATCTAATATTTTTTCTTTAATTTTTCAATATAAAATACTAAGTGATGGTGGTGGTAAAACTATTAAGTAAGTATATTTGTTACTATATTAGTTGCCACCTCACTTGTAAAATTTTTTAGAAAAGTCTAAATGGATATTTGGAAAGCAGTTCCATCATTTTTGTTTTATAATGTTTGTCCCCTCTTGTAATTAGGATTGTCTAAGGGGGGAAAAAGCCTCTGGGGAAACATACTTTGAACTGCTAAAAATGAGAAATTTTTATCAACCAACTAACGAAACTAATAATAAACAAGTTACCTCGATCAAGCTTTTACTTCATTCTTTCCCTCTTCTATTTCTGAAATTCTTTGATACAGTCAGTCATAAGAATGATACATGACTTAGTTATAAAATACGGCCTTAGCATTTTCTCTGAAATTCTGTGTGAAAATTTGTTCTATTGTTATTTCAGAAGTAAATGCAACAAAATAGATTTGTCTTCTACATACTGCACTGCTTCTTAGATTTTAATATGTATTAATATAGGACATGTCATATCCTTTATTTAGGAAGATGGTTATTAGCACACCAGACAAGCATTTTTAGGTTAATAAACTCATCCATCCTCCCTCCGTTTTTACCCAACATCAGCTTAAGGAGTTCTTGCTTACCTGGAAGTGCTTGAAAATAAATGGTTCATGCAAAGGAAAAGGTATATGTTTTAATCTGGAAATCGTAAATAGGGAAAGCAAATGGAAGGATGTCTGGGACGGAAGAGTGTGTGGGCCTTTGCATAGTGGAGACTTAGTGTCTGCTCCTGCTCTTCTCCTCTGTTACCTTAGTTAAGTCAGGTGTTCTCCCTGGGTGTCAGTTTCAGCATCAGTTTAAAAAAAAAAAAAGTGCTGGGCTGTAGATGATCTCTAGGGTCCTTTCCAGCTCATACCCGCTGATGCTGATCGACCTCATGGTTCCTGTTCTTATCTTGTACCAGCAATTTATTAAGATTGCCAGTAATCCAAACACAAATCTTTCTGACAGGCGATGGAGGCAGTAAATAGTTCCCTAACAGAGAAAATCAATTACAGAAGATATTGTTCGGTTCTCTGGGGGGAAATATTAAGGTCGGAAGTGTTTTAACAGAGGGGAAGTGGTGTCCTGTAACTCCTACAGGCTGGTGGGGTAAGAAGACAGCAGACAGACGCTGCTAGAAAGCAGGAATTGGCCATGTACTAGGGTTCGGAGAGTACACTGTGCCTCAGTGGGCATACAGAAATAGCTCAGGTTTTCTGCTTATAGTGGCACGGCCTCTTGAGAATTAGTGCAGTACTAGTAGCGGTTACCTCAGTGCAGCATTCCAGTAATGCTGGTACAGTAAGTGGTAGCATTATTCATTTGTTCATTCATTTATTCAGCAAATATCTTGTAAGCCTTAAGATACTTTTCTAGGCACTGGGGAATGCAGGAGTGAACAAGACTAAGTCCTTGTTCTCATAGAGATCATAGTGGGGAAGGTTAATATATAACATATTGCCAGGTACTGATAGGTGCTATGAATACTATAGTGGGCGAGTGAACAGAGGACTAGATGGAGGGAAGGGTTGGTATAAAAACCTCAAGGTAGGAACAAGCTTGGTGTATTAGAGGTATGAGAGTTAGACAGTGCATCTACAGCAAAATGACCACGGTGGAGAGACGGGAGAGGAGGCAGAGAGGAAGTCAGAACCTAGAGCATGTGGGGCCTAGAAGATCAAGACTTGAACAGGTGTCAAGTGATTTGTCTACATTCACGTGGTAAGTCATTGTAAGGTAGGAAGCGCCATCATGGCCTTGTGATTCTGGGCAGCCTTAGTAATTCTCCTAAGACCAAGTCCCTCTATAAGTTAAGCATTTAGGAAGCTTATATAAATTCTTTTAGGCTACCAAATAACCATTTAGAACCTGAAAGAGTTTATGTAGTTTCTGAGTGCCTAATTTAATAGCTGGGGCAGCCTTAGGCATTCAGAGTACAGTTGCTGTTGCTTGGGAATAACTGGTGACTAAGTCATAGATACATTGGGGCTTTAAAGAAAGAAAAGCATAAGAGTGATTCTTTCATACACCTTCTCAATTGAGTATTACATGTTTTTGTTCATTCGTTTTCCATTTTAGCATTATAATGGTTCCATACCTTAAAGTATAGTCACATAAATAAAACAGCAGTGACTCTTTGGTTCAATATTGAAATTCTTCAAAAACTAGACTTTTTATTAAAAATTGTAATACTGTAAATTTATTAAGTGCCTTCTATGTACCATGCAGGGAGCCCTGGTGGCTCATTGGTTAAGCACTAGGCTGCTAACCAAAAGGTGGGCAGTTTGAACCTCCCAGCCCTTCCATGAGAGAAGGATACAGCAGTCTGCTTCCATAAAGATTACAGCCTTGGAAACCCCATGGAGCAGTTCTACTTTGCACACATGAGGTTGCCATGAGTCAGAATCTACTCGATGTCAGCTAACAACAACAGTCCACCCGTCACTGAGAACTGAGGCTCTAAGAGCGTATTTGAGCCATAGTAACAGTTTACTCAGGAGTCCCTGGGAAGTGCAAATGGTAATGCACATGTCTCCTAACTGAAAGGTTGAAGGTCTGGTCTGCCCAGAGACACCTCAGAAGAAAGGCCTGGTGATGTACTTCCAAAAAATCAGCCATGGAAAACCCTATGAAGCACAGTTCTACTGAGACACACATGGGGTTGCTATGGGTCTGCACCGACTCGATGGCAGCTGGTTTTAGTATTTTACTTAGGGGCTTGACTCATAAGAGCTAGGATTTCAGTCAAAGTCTCTGGCTTCATAGCTGTACTCTTCCCATTATATTTTACTGCAGAATTCCTGTTTTGTACTGAGCAAAGCAGATGGGTAGTCAGTAGACAAGGGCGTGATTTCAACTTTAACAAGTTATCCAAGAAAGCCAACATCCGTTTTTTCCTTATCAATGTGCCATGTCATTTTTGTCTGTCCTGGGACTATAGCAGCCTAGAGAGTGGTAGTGGAAAAACGCAGGGGAAGAGCTGACAGTGGAAGTAGTTTCTAGAGCTCTTCCAGTCTCCAAAGAGCACTTCTGTGGCAATAGAGAGATTACATAGCACTTTGAAAAGAAGTTTTCTAATATAAAATGTGTTACACATATAACATGTATGTACATGATCTAGTGCATATGCATGATTCTCCATGTTATACATGATCTGGGATCACAAGTTTGCGGGTAGAGAGCTGCCGGTGGATCTTTAAGCCCGTTTGCCAGGCCAGTCTGGCACATGTGGAAATGGACTTACTCCTCTTAGACTGGGAAGACAAAGGGCCCTTGTGCTCTCCTCAGTAATCGGTTTCGGGGTGGGGTGGGGGGGAACGGACTTGATCCAGTCATTTTAGACCTCAGTTTTCTCATCTGTAAATGTAAAATGAAGGGACTGGAGTTCATGATCGCCCGTGCCATTTTAGCTGTTTTCCAAAAAAAACTGTGGGTGTGTGTGTTTGCAATTAGATGTTCTTTATTTGACATGTCTGTTTTCCACTGGGTTTAGCAAAGCAAAATAAAATTCATGAATGCTTAGGAAAAAAGAATACATGTCAAGATAAGTACAGTCGGCCCTCTGTATGCACAGGTTCCGCGTCCGGGGATTCAGCCAACCGCGGATCGAAAATATTCAGGGGGATAAAAAAAGTTCAAAAAAGCAAAACTTGAATTTGCCGCGGGCCGAGCATTCCACCGAATCCACGCGATTGAAATGATGTGTAGGCATACTGTGCTGTAGCCTCCTGCCGTTTCACAGATCATCAATCTCTCTCCAGCACGGGTTGTTAGAGCTATTTTTGCCTCACCTCTTGTTCATTTGCTACTTGCGTGTACCCTTTGTTTCTGGAAAAAATGCCTCCTAAAAAGCAATTAAGTGGTCAGAGCAGTCCCTCAGAGGCTAAGTGTGAGCGGGTTGAGGAGAGTGAGGAGTTGCAAGCTAGTAACGGATGGCTGGCTAGCTATGTGTAAGGTGCTACAGCCTGAAGAACTGAAAGATCACGGGAGAATTGGCATTGGTTGGTGCCCAGGCAGCATCTGCGTTCCCAGAAGAGCTCAAGAAACTCATAGAGAAAGGCTCCCTACCAGAGCAAGTTTTCAGTTGTGAGGAAATGACTATTTACATAGCATTTACATTATATTAGGTATTATAGGTAATCTAGAGATGATTTAAAGTATACAAGAAGATGTGCATAGGTTTTATATAAGGGACTTTAGAGTCCTCAGATGTTGATACCTGTGGGGGTCCTGGAACCAGTCCCCCACGGATACCAAGGGATGACGGTCTGTTAATTTGAAAGTCTTGTAAATCTTGCCTCTAATCAAGAAAATAGTGAATAAAAACTAACCTTCTGTTCATAGAAAGGGAAAGTAGTTTTTTAAGGCCCTCTCCCCTCAAAAACTTCTTATGTGCTAATAGTGTATATCAGGGAAGGGTCAAATCCATTAAAACTCTCCCAAGTGCAACAAGTGACCTGAATTACTTGTTTGCTTAAGTCAAACAGGAAAGTTCTTCCTTTGAACTTAAATAATTCCAGGAAATGAAATAAAGAAGCTGAGGGAGAAATAAAGCATTGAGTACAGACAGCTTCTCCAGCACAACCTGTTGTTTAGAGTTTTCACAGTTACATAAGCTCTGGTAACACCTATTACAGTTTATATGCTTTATAATACTCAGAGTGTTTTAAAAACCGTTCATGTTCTAAGCTGTTGTTTTTCTTCTTCAAACTGATTTATTTCAGTTACATAACTTGGAAATCTTCCACTTTTGGCAATAGCTCAAAATTAGTTTGAGGAAAAATTAAATGAAATAACTTTTAAATTTTCACTTTTTATTTACCATCAATCCACTCTGCAGTAAGTTTGTAAAATTAACTAGCAGTAAGTGCTCTATTTATAATTTACTTTTTCTTCCCTTTCAAATCTCTTTCCAGGAAATGACCCATTCATGGCCTCCTCCTTTGACAGCAATACATACGCCTAGTACAGCTGAGCCATCTAAATTTCCTTTCCCCACAAAGGTAATTCCTTAAAAGTATAGCAGATACTGCATCTACATTACATTAGTGAAAAAGTCTGAATTATTGTTGTAGGGCCAGATTAATAAAGTATTACCTTGTTGAAATCTTTGGAGATGAGGTTAAAATTGCAACTAACTTAGCTTCTAAAGTACTTCATAATACTGTCAAACACTTTATTCTCCAAGTTATGTTAGTGAAAGCATCTTATATTTGTATAGGAGTTTATGAAGGCATCCAAGACAGTAAATTCTTTCATTTGAGCATGTTGACCATAGAGATGAGAAAACTGAGGCACAGAGAAGTTGAGTGAGGTAGGTTGTCTGATTCCTAGTTCAGAATTTAGATACATACATAAACCAGTTGCTGTTGAGTCAGTCTGACTCATGGTGACCACCCACTGTGTGTCAGAGTAGAACTGTGCTCCATAGGATTTTCAGTGGCTGATTTTTCAGAAGTTGATCACCAGGCCTTTGTCCCAAGGCACCTCTGGGTGGACTGGAACCTCCAACCTTATGGTTAGCAGCTGAGTATGTTAACCATTTACACCACCCAGGGACTCTATACCTATACATACGTCTCACATGTCTTGTACTTCCTAAATCTTGTAAATTTTAACATGATGGTGTTAATAACAAGCGAATCAGCTGCTGACCTGCTTGTTTGCTTTACAGTATTTGTGAACAGTGTATTAAAACACTGCCATGTTCCTTTTTGTAGGTTTGTCCTTTTAGATAATCATCAGAATTTAGGAATCTTATCTTCAGATCTGTGTTTTGTCCTACCTGGTATGAATGCACATTGTTAATATAGTAACTCATTTCCATGATACTGTTTTCGAAAGAGGTTATCCTTAAACTCTAATTTGCAACAGATTAGATATTTTATGTATTTGCTAATAATTCTTTAAAAAGAAAGAAAGAGGGGGACTCATTACAGGTTTTAAAGTAAAGCATTGAACTTTGTGAAAATGTCTTTGCTTAATGCCAAAAGAAAAATAAACTCTGGAAAACAATAGAAACAATAAAAGCTACTTTGTGTAAAAATCAGACTTACCAGTGTTTTCGCCCTATGTTGAAATGCATCAAAAAATGGTATTGATGAGTGGATAGAGCAATGAATAGATACATGGTAAAGGTCGTATAATGTTAATTGTAGAATCTATCTGGTGGATTGTATGGACATTACCAGCACAATTATTTCCATTTTTCTGTATATTCAAACATTTTCATGAGGCTGTCTTTTCAGTACTAAAAACTATAATACAGTTTGCCCTTAGATTTATAATTCTATTTTAATAACTAGAGATTTTTATTTTTACTTCTAGGATTCTCAGCACATCAGTTCTGCAACCCAAAACCAAAGTAAGTAAATATCTGGAACTGATTATTGCATTGGAGAACAAAGTGTAGTTTTTATTGTTTTAATATGAAAACATTAAAAGAAACAAGAGCTTTTCATGTTGAAAGCAGGGGAAGGAAGAACAAACACAAAGTTTTCTTTAGGTAGAATTTCAAGTTGTTTTAAAAAGATGATGGTATTTTAGTAAAGTGCTTAATAAATATAATTTGGTTTTACCTAACACAGAGTATGTATCTTTGAATGTGATTCTCAAAGCATTGTAACTTAGGAATTGTATGTAAGAATAGATTCTGTTTTCTTCAGCAATAATCTTATAGGTTTTGGATTTTGTAGTGAGGGAGAATGTGAGGATTTTATTTGTATGTCATTGTTTTTGTCCACATTTGCAAAACATCGCTGCCTAAGTATAACTAGTCAAGATGACTGTGTCCTGTGAATGGTCTGGAAAGAGTGACTGTAGCTCCCCTAATTTGTACTCTTGGCCCTAGGTTTCTCCAGAAAAGGAAAGTGGGGGGAAAAGAGGGGGTTTAAAAATATCATATAAGAGCTGCTGCCACCATGAGGATAAGTGATTAATTGCAAGTATGCAAGAGCTTTCACAAGACATTAGCGTGAAGGCCGCTCACCCCTGCCTAAAAGGCACCCATATTCTCATTCCATTTCCAGTCTTGTTTCAGGTCCCAGTTGTCTCACGCCTAGGAAAATACAGCATCCTCCCAACCGATTTGTTGCCTCCACACTTAACATTTCCTTCTCCATTCCAGGTTACACCAGGTAGCACCACCAGATTAATCTTGCTGAGGAATCGCTGTTTTATGTCCCTGTTTAAACCATTGATGCTGTCTTATTGACCAACAAATAGTCATAACTTCTCATCCTGGCATTTCAAGCCTTCTAAAACCTGGCTTCCACCTGTTCAGTGCTGCATCACAGATTCTGTACGCTAGCCTTGAACGCTTTCCAAATCTGTGCCATCTCCTCCCACTTTTCTATCTTAGCTCACACTGTGTCTTCTGCCTAGTGGCCTTCTCCACCCTCCTCACCCTCCTTCCAGCAGTCATTAATTGATTTCATTCCTTCACTGATTTGCCTTCTTTGATCATTAGCTGTAGAGCGACCATCCTCTTGATTCTCAGGATGGTCAGTTTGTGGGATTGCTTTGTGTACTTATCACACACTGCCTGGGATTGTGGATATTTTCATGTCTGTTTCATGTCCCTCAATCATCTGTAAGCTCATTGGGGATAGGGCTAAATGCCTTGAGCATACTGGTATCCATCAGGCAGTCTGCAAATAGCTGTTAAATATAAATGAATAAGATGGGGGATTGGATATTGGATTGGCAGATAGGAGGCAGAGCACAATCGGCCAAGGACAGAGGCTGTTGAAAGTGTGTGAATGCAAATTGCTGATAGGTGAAGTCAAACCAGGTCAAGGATGACAGCAGCCCTGTTATAGTGCTTCCATAAGCATCTCCATCAACTGGCATTAAGAAAAAGTCTCCAACATGTAAGAAAGTTACTGGCAATGTGATGTATGGCAAACTGCAAGCAATGCTTTTCACATATTAAAATATACTATAAAGGTAGAGCGATTGAGTTTGATGATGGCTCTGGATATAGAGAATAGAATGACTAGTTTTGGGAGAAGGAGGAGGTTTCTAGAATGCCTACCTCACTCTTTTAACAAGCAAGGTTTTTCAAAATGTTTTTGGTCTATTAAGAGTTTTGCAATTCTGATCAAACCTGCTCTCTATAAGTAACATAAACGTTATTTTGTAATGGTGAGATTGCATCAAGTGCAACATATAGCCCTCTGACCGAATATAAGTATACTGTTGAGGTGAAAAAGGTAGGGGAACAGCAAAAAGGAAGCTTAACTAAGGAGCTCATAAATATACGGGTTGTGCTGCTCTGATAGTTTTTTCCCTTCCCACAGAACAACATGATACATCTTCAAAAACCCACTCTAGTTCTCAGCAGGGAACATCGTAAGTAAAATGTTTTCATTAAAAGTTTTATAATATGACATTGTAATTTCCCATGTAAATCCACTGTTTAGGTTTTCCTTTCCCCACCCCACCCCCACCCCC